CGATAGATAGATAGATAGATAGATAGATAGATAGATAGATAGATAGATAGATAGATAGATAGATAGATAGATAGATAGATAGATAGATAGAAAATTTTTGATAGTGAAAAATGGCTTAATCTTAGAATTGTTTTAATAGCACACATAATCTGAGAGATGGGGCCCGAATAATTCGTTGTATAACCATAAGGATATTCCCTGCTTTGTTTCCATTTTACCCTACCCCTTGCACACGAAAAGAAAGGGCACCATTATTTATTTTAACTTATGCGCGAGTATGTTAAAAAGATGGCTACTTGGTCCTGCTTGTTTCAGAGAAAAGATATTCTTTTCCCTTCAATATAGGATACAAATTCCAGACCACTATTTTTTAAAAAATTAAGATAAAGTTGAGATAAATGAAATAAAACGCTTCCTTTTCTTAATAAAATAAAATAACAAACAATACACTTATGGGCACAATGTAACTGATGTTGACCTTTGGAACCTTTATATTATTCTAGCCTCCTAAAGTGAAAAAAAGCACAAAAATGAAGTAAATCACAAATGCTATATACAGTTTATTATTTTTTTAAAGCACGCAAATTGACCGCCCAGGGCGGTGCTACAGACTGAAGTGTCTTCAGGCCATTCCTTAAGGGGGGACATTACCATGTTCTGTTGCACAGTAGAATTGTAATTGTAAATGGGCTGATTCATCAATGTCATGCTCACAACTGTGCCGGAATTGCAAAATGGAACTGCTGATTTTTCTTTTCTCATCCTTACTATCGTCATTTTTCCTCTACTTCTTTTGTATGTTTGTCACTCTCTTGTGACCCGCTATTTCCGGGGTGCCTTCCTAGTCGAAGCAGACTTTGTGCTGTTGAAGCTAGAGAGGTGAGCAGAGTAAGCCAGATTCCGTGAAAGGACTTCTGTGTTGACATCCACCCCTTGGCGCTCATATGACCTTATGCAGTTGCGAGCGCCGCAAAACCTCTACTTAAAAAATCTAGCACACAAATTGTCTTAAAAATAGAGCACGTTACTCTTATTCTAAGGAACATGAATTCCCCTATCGATCTATGTGTTACATTTTCATCACAATAGTAGGCGTATATTCGATTTATTGCCTATGAATGATTAGGTTTGGGTTAACGATTCAAATACTCACAGATCACATACAACACATAAGGAAGAGGTGAACCATATCAAGACATGACTGGTCTGAAATTTTGGTCCATAATATCATAATATCCAAAGTACTGCAATGAATATGTTTGAAGGGAAAGCCAGAACGAAAATGGGTCTTGGGTGAAAGCAATGAACAGTCAATTTAAGACATATGAGTCATTTATTTTAAGATTTGGCTTCTACCTACCGCACGCACACATGCATACACGCATACACGCACAGACGCTCGCGTGCACGCGCGCACACACACACACACACACACACACACACACACACACACACACACACACGACACACACGTACACACACATACACACACACACACACACACACACATACTCTCACACACAACACACACACACATGAGAGAGAGAAAGAAAGAAAGAAAGAAATGGAAAAAAGAGAGGGGGACAGGGAGCGGGAGACGGGGACGGGGAGCGGGGAGAGGGAAAGAAGAAAGAAAGAAAGTGAGTGAGAGAAAGACAGAAAGTGAGAGAGAGAGAGGTATAATACAATACAAGTATAATGCAATTTTATTACATGCAGTTATAATCCAAAGTATATCATTGCGAAAGGATAATTATATGAAGATGTATTTCTCTATCCTAGAATAACAAGGTTCTATCTGCTCAGTGCCTAATTTTGAGAAATTTGAGGCAAAAAAATTGAAAGTTTCACAGTGCAATTCTTTGAATAATATCTCGATAGCGTCATAGCGTCTCCGAATCATCTTACGACTTTGATAGATCAGACAGAACATTGATTGTTTTCTTACTTCATAATCTCGTTCACTCAAAACGGCCAAATTATCATATAGAACCTAGTAGTTTTAAGGTAGCGAATTTTTACCAACCTTCACAGACAAATTAACGTTGGTGAATACACGTACCAGCATAACAATATGAGTCGGAAAGTGTGTAAAGGGAAAATCATTTGTAAAAACAATTATCTCTAATTTCTTTTTAAATGTGTGTAAAATACATTCTTACAAAATCCATGGACACCAACTCCTCTTTCGTTTCCTTCCTTATTCTTTCCACTTTCTTGTCATCCATGAGCACACTCTTGCTTGAGTCTCACAGATCACAGGGTGAAAAAAAAGAAATGCCAGCACACCGACAGAGAAGCACCAGTAGACGGACGCGAACGCTCAAAATGTTAGCAGTGTCTCTATAACATATATATATATATATCTCCCCCTCTCTCTCTCTCTCTCTCTCTCTATCCCTCTCTCCGTCTCTGAACAAGGTCACCAGGCGCTGAATTCAAGCACAAAGACAAACATAGTACTTATAGTCCCGTAATTTCCCAATGGGGTCAGGCAGCGAGGACATAATGAAGTAGAGGTCGTGTCTGTAGTTAGTATAAGCGCTGCCAGGACAAGAGCGTGTCGCCGATTCCAAAGGGCGCACTAGTCTAAGGATTAATTATGTGCAACTACCAAGTTGATCGCGCTCTGTAAGATTTTCATAGTCTGCATTGTAGTTATAGAATGTGAGAGATTAGGACAGAGGGGATTATCTCAAAACTTGGCACTTATTCGCGTTGTAATACGATACAAGGTAAAGGGATGATAAGTGCAGTGTGCTGAGTGATCGATAATGTGTGGGTGGGTTTTTTGTTGGGGATTTTTTTTTTACTTTTTTAGG